TCCTCGGTCGTAGCCGCCGGAAATCTCAGGATATCCACGACCAGCATCGAACTCAAGAGGACCTTGATAAAAAAGGAAGCAATGTTAACGTCATGGTCCGACTTAGACCAGTTGGTGCGCCGAGCAATTTTGCTTGAGGAGGCGCTGGACACGGAAGATCGTGGCCAACAGGGACTCCCCAGGAACGATCCCCAAGAGCGCTCGGACGCCCGACGGGGAAGGCGTTCTCCAGACAGGAAGTCGTACCGCAATCGGTACGCGGAGCGGGATGGAAAAAGAGAAGTGCTCTCCGCCGACCGAGAAAGAGGAAGAGAAAGACGAAGGGGTGGGAGGAGACCAGACCCGCCTTCCACCCAGGAGCCTCAAGAAGGAAATAAGTGGTGCAACTGGCAAAAAATCACTACCCACGACACCGAAGAGTGTCGGGAGTTCAAAGCAAGCCTGAGGTACTTAGCCCCTGGCGACTTGCGGAATCGCCTCGAAACTCGGCGCTCCCACCAAGACCACTCCCCCGAAACACGGGAAGGATCTCGCAGTCCGGGAATAGACAAGACAAGAAGGTCGCGGAAGGATAGGTCGCGATCCTCAACCAGGAACAAGGGCGCTTCTCCCCAGAGAGAGTCACCCGCCTACAGAACCCAGCGCAATGACGACGATGGGATGGAATTCATCACAATCGCAGGGGGCAGGAAACGCCCGCGCCCATTGCCTAAACGTCCACCTAAAGGGTTCCTACGGATGTCACATTCCTCCCTACCGAGCTCAGCGGACATCCTCTTCTACTCTGCGCTCAAGGGAATGAAGAAGAGCGTGCAGGACCTCAACCCCTCCAACACTAGCCTAGTTGGATTCTCTGGAACCAAGGTTCGAGTCCTCGGGTCAATCACACTCAAGGTCACTATAGGAGAAGGGGAATCACGAAGACTAGACCGGTTGAATTCCATGTTGCAGATTGCCCCTCGGCCTACAATGCCATCCTGGGGCGCGGCTTCCTCGCCTCTTTCGAGGCGGTTGCATCCACATGCCACCAAATGCTGAAATTCCCTAGCGGGGGACTTACAGGCCGTGTCCGGGGAAACTTAAACAAGGCCAAAGAGTGCTACCAAGCCACCGTTGAACACCTCGAAGTCGATCTAGTGGATGCAAGAGGTGACGTACCGCGCCCAGAGGCGGTTGAAGGAGACATCGCATTCGCTTTGGATGAAGAGCGACCAGACAAAACAGTGCGCATCTCAGCGCACCTTGCCACCGAAGAGGCCCAAAAGCTACTTGCGCTCCTCAGGGAGTTTCAAGACCTCTTCGCATGGGGACCGGAGGACATGCCTGGTGTTCCCCGTGCAGTCGCCGAGCACCGGCTCTCCGTCAAATCCAAAGTGCGACCCATTCAGCAAAGAAGTAGACACTTGTCACTCGAAAAGCAAATGGCTCTAGAAGAGGAGGTGCGGCGCTCAAGGCCGGCTTCATCCGAGAAGTACGGTACCCTACCTGGCTCTCTAATCCGGTCTTTGTACGCAAATCCGGAGGTTCTTTGAGGATGTGCATAGACTTCACAAGTCTTAATGCGGCTTGCCCAAAGGATGCATATCCCCTCCCCTGAATCGATCAGCTCATTGATGGGACCGCCAACCATGAGGCGCTCAGTTTCCTAGACATGTTCTCTGGCTACCATCAAATCAAAATGGCAGAAGGCGACCAAGAGCTGACCGCATTCATGACACCCATGGGAAACTTCTGCTACGTGGTTATGCCCTTCGGGTTGAAGAATGCGGGGGCGACCTACCAAAGGATGGTAGACGCGGTCTTCAAGGAGAAAATGGGAAGAAACGTGGAAGCATACGTCGACGACGTGTTGGTCAAAAGCAAGAAGGCTAGCGATCACTTATCCGACCTAAGAGAAACCTTCGAAACCTTGAGAAGGAGGAACTTGAGGCTCAACCCCCTCAAGTGCGTCTTCGGGGCAGAGGCGGGAAAGTTCCTTGGATTCATGATCACTAAGAGGGGAATCGAAGCGAACCCCAAGCAAATTGAGGCCGTCCTCAACCTGAAGCCCCCCAAAACAATCAAGGAGATCCAAGCGTTCAACAGCAAGATGGCCGCACTCGGGAGGTTCATTCCGCGGTCCGCCGATAAATGCTCTCCTTTCTTCCAGATGCTAAAGAAATCGGCGTCCAGATTCCAATAGGGCGCCGAATGCGACAAGGCATTCGCGTTGCTCACTAGCCAGCTCAGTTCACCACCCGTCCTGAGCGCCCCCGTCCCCGGGGAACGTCTCTATCTTTACCTAGCTGTCTCGGAACAAGCTGTAAGCTCAGCCCTGGTAAGAAGAGAGTCAGACGGCACAAACAGACCCGTCTACTACGTGAGCAAGGCGCTCCTGCCCGCCGAAACAAGGTACATGCCGATTGAGAAGGCGGTCCTGGTTGTAGCCTCCGCGGCCAGGAAGCTAAGACCGTATTTCCAAGGGCACCCGATCACCGTACTGACCAACCTCCCATTGAAGAGCGTCATGCGAGAAATGGACGCCTCCGGAAGGCTAACCAAGTGGGCAATCGAACTCAGTGAGTATGACATCGAGTATGCCCCGAGGCCAGCCATCAAGGGGCAAGTCCTAGCAGATTTCATCGCCGAGGGGTTCTCCCTAGCAGCCACTTCTTCGGCAGAACGCCATCAGGTCTGGCGCCTGTTTGTTGACGGAGTGGCGGGAAAAGCCGCCTCTGGGGCAGGCATAGTAATTGAATCTCCCGACGGAGTTGTCCATGAAATCTCGTTGAGGTTCAGGGATATCAAGACCAACAATGTCGCGGAGTACGAAGCCCTCATCAATGGGCTCAGGTTACTGACCAACATGGGCGCATCAGACGTGCACATCTTCTCCGATTCGCTCTTGGTGGTGAAGCAAATACATGAAGCATTCGAAATCAAGGACGATACGTTGGCCATGCTTGCTAGCAAAGTCAGAAGCGCCCTCACACAACTGAACTCGTGGAAACTCGAGCATGTTAGGCGCGACGACAACCAGCATGCCGATGCGCTGTCCAAGTTGGCAACTGCCCTCGACTTCGAAGGGGACCGCCATCTGACAGTCACGAAGGAGGGCGACTCCGCAGAGGAAATCATGAGTATCGGAGACGCCTCAGACTGGAGGACCCCTCTATTCCAATACTTGGAGCACGACATCGCACCCCAACATCCAGCTGAACGGAAGCCGCTCAAGCGAAAGGCGGTCAGGTACACTGTCGTGAATGGCCACCTATGCAAAAGATCGTTCTCAGGAACATATTTGAAGTGCCTCGGCCCGGAGGAAGCAAAGTGGACCCTAAGGGCGATACATGAAGGGACGTGTGCAACACATGCCGGCCCTTGATTGCTTGAAAGAACAGTCCTCCTACAGGGCTACTATTGGCCGACGATCAAGAAAGACGCATCAGTCGTCGTCCGAAAATGTCACGCATGCCAGGTACACGCCTCCAAACATCATCTTCCGAGCACCGAGCTCCAAGGGATAGTCGGTCCGTGGCCATTTTCTCGATGGGGGATTGATCTGTTGGGACCTTTTCCCACGGCTCCGCTAGGAAAGAAGTACCTGGTGGTCGCAGTCGACTATTTTACCAAGTGGATTGAGGCAGAGCCGCTGGAAACAATTACAAGTGCAAGGATCCAAAAGTTCGTGTTCAACAAAATCATGATTCGCTTCGGCATTCCGCAGTCGATCGTCACTGACCACGGCACACAGTTCGACTGTCGACCGTTCGAAAATTTTTGTGCGCGAAACCGCATCAGTCATCACATGCACCATGGCATCAGTGGCGTACCCACAGACCAACGGACAAGCCAAAGCGTCCAAAGCTAATACTCCAAGGGTTGAAAAAGCGCCTCCGGGACGCAAAAGGAGCGTGGACAATAGAGCTACCACAGATCTTGTGGGCACATCGCACGACCCACAAGACGGCCACGGGGGAAACCCCCTTCGCTCTCACATACGGTTCCGAGGTGGTTGCCCCAGAGGAACTGAACCTGCCGTCCCTTCGTGTCCAAGCATATGATGCGGAAACCAATCACAAGATGCTGCTGGAACAGTTGGACATGCAGGAAACAAGGCGTGATGCGGCTCTCAAGCGCATCATCAATGAGAAGGCAAAGGTGGCCTCTTCCTACAACAAGAGAGTGAGACCGCAGATCCTCGACGAGGGAGACATGGTTCTCAAGCGAGATTTCCAAAAGAAGGAGGAACATGGCAAGCTCGCGGCAAATTGGGAAGGTCCCTTCCTCATCGGTGAAAAAACAGGCCCTAAAACCTTTCGCCTCGCGACCATGGAAGGAACACCAATCTCAAAGACATGGAATGGCATGCACCTCAGAAAGTACTACTCTAACGCAGTTTAGAGTACGACAATTGTATGCAAGGTTATTTTGATGGCACGGGTGAGAAGCCTGCCATTTGTTGAAGTGTATCGGATGCTACTATGCCTCCTCTTTTGCTCAAGTAATACACTTATGTTTTTGGCCAAAATTCGTAGCTAACTCGTGTCCCTAACGGAATTCATAAGTCGCCCAAACAGCAACGCCTTCTGTCAATTGCTACGAGAAAAAGCAATACGCTGCTTGCGAAATTCCGAGAGACCCTCTCATGAAACGCAAAATCCGAGAAGCGGTCAAGGGCGTCTTCAGACGTTCTGCGACCTTCTCCCTATGATCAACAAGAACAGCACCGTCCCAACGCGGTTTGCGCAGGCTGTTTTCCAACAAACCAAGTACCCGCCACCAAGCGGTCAAATAACATGTTTAAACAAAATGCCTTAGCACCCATAGCTACATCACATAAAACCGCTCCAACACGGTCCCTACAAATCATCATCACATCATCCGAATCACAAAGATTCTCTCAAAATGAGAAATGTCTTTAGTGCAATAAAGAAAAAGAAAACAAGGCAACGAACATTCGAAAGCGGCCTTAAACAACCGGAGAACCTCCACTGGCAGCATCGCCATCTTCACCCTCCTCATCGCCCCCCCGCTTCGTCCTCGGCCGAGTCGTCCGCCTCCGAGTTCACATCGGAAGACGACCAATGCCTGATCGCATCCCAAACACGGTCGGCATCCCAGGCCACATCGGGACACTCTTCACGAATCAAATGGCGAATCGCGGCCACTACATTACCCACAACTTCCTTGTATTTTGCCTTGTCATAAGCTAAGAATTCGACAGAATTCAAGTAAGCAGGACCAGCCGCTTCGCGATCCTCTAGCAAAGACGCCTTCTCTAACTTGAGGGCGTCCACCTCTTTCCGCAACGCGTCCTGCTCCTCAAGCAAAGTCTTCTCGATCGCACGAGACTTCTGCAGCATACCTTCAAGGCGACTCTTCTCCGCACAAGCCGCCTTAACTGCCTTCTTCTCTTCTGCCAGATCCTGGTCCTTCCGCGCCAGCTGTTCTGTGAAACTCTTCTCGATCTGTGGCCGCAGTTCCTCCATCAGCGCTCCCCTCCCATCGCTCAAACTCTTCTTCAGATTCGCAATCTCGACCGCATTGTCGTCCACGGTCTTAGACAAACGGTCGTTCATCAGGATAATTTGCGAAAACCAGATCTGAGCCTGCAAACAAAAGATAAGTTAGTATGAGAAGCCTCTACACTTGCAAAATAAGGAAATCACGACTACTGACCCCAAAGAAAAACTGGGATGCGGTCCCCGCGAGACGGCGGTTGCTCTCTGACGAAGTAGCGGTATACTCGTTAGGCATCTCCAGTTGCTCGCTGATAGTATGGAATGCTAACTCAGCCGCCTCCGTATCGGTAGTGGCCAGAGGAGAGACAGCCACGGAACCAGACTTGGTTGACCGCTTTGAAGCAGGGCCGTGCTTCTCCCCAACCTTGACGCGGGGTGAGCTAACCTTCGCGCGCTTCGAGGTCGCCTCAGGAACCCCGCGTTCCATCAACCTCTTTCCCGCACCCCGAGCAGCGGGAATGGAGGACGCGCCAGCCGCTCTGGACGGCCGAGCAGGAGACTGGTCTTGGGGAGTGGCTGACAGATCGATCGTTGTAGCCGCGGCCGATGGGGACGCATCTCCTGGCCGCACGGTCCTCCCAGCCTTCTTCTTCTTTGGCCTGTTGGCATCTGCCAGCTCCCTCAGCCCCGGAGAAAGAAAGCATAAGTACAAACGCATGAGAAAGACAAAGTACAAAATTCCAAGTATACACTACTGACCATAAAAACCGCGAACGAGCTGGTATGCACTGTTAGAACCGCTATGCTGCACACGTAGCTGGACGCCCTCCACTATCCGTGCCACATGGTCTCGCACCGACTGAGGAAGTTGACTAGACTCCCACCAGTCATCCTTGGACCCCATCGCATAACCAGTAGGCGGTTCCACATCACCCGCATACTATTTCCTCGAAGGGCGGGCGAAAAAGTACTCCTTATACCACGGAGAATCCAGCTTGGGCGCCCTAGTGACAAACCCAACTGAGTTCTCCCGCCTCCCAATCGACCAAAAGTTAGACGAATCTCTGATGTTGTAAATCATCATAAATGCATCAAACGAGGGATCCTCCTTAAGGCGGTCACACGCCAACCGGTACATAACCGAATGAAAAACGATCGTCGGTGAGAGGCGTCCCAGAGTGCATTGTAGTCGATGCAAAGTCCTGGTCAAAAGGTCATCGAGGGGAAACCGTAAACTGAGCTTAACATGTTCAACCAGGATCGGTATCCAACCGCTAGGACAAGATCCGATGCGGCTTCTCGCAGAAGGGACCGCATAGAGCCAGTCGGGAGGCATGCACAGCGATTTTAGCCGGTATAACACCTGTTCCGGCTTAAAAGCCGCTACATGAGGAGGACCCTACTCAAAAACCTCCTCGGGAATGGACTCACCATCCCACATACCCGCATGACGAAGGACGGTGTACACAGAGTCCCTGATAGCAATCGGAAGTGGTCTCGGCTCTCCGCTTTCAGAAATCTCTATAGAAGAGGAAGTACTCGGATGCGCCCCAGACCGCACTTCACCACTATCGACCTCCTCCGAATCCTCCAATGAGATGCTATCTAAGTCTACCCGCTCAAATTCCCTCAGATTATCCCCAACCGCAGACAAGGAGGTCACAACCCCAACTGGTACAGGGTGGAGGTTAGCACAAGAGTTATCTAAGTCTACCAAAGCCTCGACAAGGCAATCTCTCAATTTAGATCCATCCCCAACATATAACTCTAACCCGAATAAATCCCACACACATCAGACATGCTTCGAACGGGGGAAGAATGATTGTACCTTGTATACCAGGAGCGGTCTCCGCGATTTTCTTCCCAGCGGCCCGAGAGGGCAATGTCGTGGTGGAAGTTGAAGGGTTCTTCCCCGACGCCACAACGGGCCCGAGATCGGCGGTCGGAGCACTCCCCACGACTGGAACATCGGGGCCCGTCCCGCTGATAAGAGATAGAGGGTTTTCGCCCGACATCTTCGGCGACGAGACCAGCCATAATCGGCGATTCCCCGACGACCCAAAGCAACAACAACACCCACAAAAACAAGGCGCGAGTTAGCCGAACCAAGGAATTCAGATGCCCCAAACTGAAAAACCAGACCAGAAACTCACCGGGAGGGTCGAATATATAGGCGACGGAAATCGAAAACCTCAGAGCCTTTCGCAGAAAAGAGGGGAAGAAGACGAAGAGTTTTCCTAAAATCGGAGGAAGGAAGCGCGAGGATTTCCCACCAAATCCTACTTAAAGGCGAAAAAGGAAAGAAGGACGCCCCGACAAGACGTTTTTCACGGAGCCCGAGAACGGAGCACCCCCAGAGGTGACATTCCGTCTGCCGGTGTTAGGGCTCTACGCCCGATACACGACACGTGGCAATAGCTGAAAGGAGAGCCGAGGCGGCCCTCACCCCTTAGACGCCCTCGCGGGATGCCCCCGCGGCTAGGGGCAACAGGAGAGTCGTACGCCATGCAGCCCTTAACCGCCCAAGAAGAGCACCATGAACCAGGCGGCCCAGAACCACTCAACATTGGTGAAGGACATCATTTAGCCGCGGAAACATGTCGCTTCCCATGCCTAAGGGGCAAATGTTGGGCCAGATGTTGAGACACTTGGGCTCCAGGCCCATAGTCACCTAAACCCATAAAGAAACGAGTTGGGCCTGAATAGGGGCAATGAGCCACTAAGTGGGCCCAAGGCGGTCTTTCTCTACGAGCACGACAAAGGTAGCCCGACACGGAAGAAAGACCGCCCGACATAATGGCCAACGGATACTGACACAAGTACGTTCTGGCAATAAAGTCGGAGGCGCCCCGGGGGCGCCCGACAAGTCATTAAATGCTCATAATCCAATCACAACCAGTATAAATACCCATAGAAGGGCTACATTGATGGTAACTTCTACCAACTCCATTTTCTCTCTTATTTACTACTCCCTTACTTCTCTCTCTAACTTAGGCATCGGAGGAGGTCCCAGGCTCCCCCTGAGGACCTTTCCTTGCAGGATTTCGGAGACCGCACTCCACCGTCGTAGCCGCCCGAGGACTGTAAGGTCTCACAAACCGCCTGATACTTTCCAGGCACAAACATGTATAATATGCCCCTCTACTATGACGTTTTAACAAACATGCCCCTCTACTATTTTTTACATCAAACATGCTCCTGTACTTTGGAAAACTTATCAACATGCCCTTTTGCTAAAATTTTCATTCAAAAACCGTTAACCAAGACCGAACTTTGGTTTGGGCGACCCAAATATCTAATATATCTCTAATAATTTCATTTTAGAGTTTTCTTTTTGTTCTTTTGTATTGCCAAATAATTATAATAATTTCACTTGGATGAGACCTAGACAAATAAAGCAAGGTCAAAACTGACATTTCCCCTCCTATTTATCGATGTCAGGTCGTCTAAATCTCGGTTCAACCATGATTGACGATTTTTTTCAATGAAAATTTCAGCTGGAGGGCATGTTTGATAGTTTTTCCAAATTACAGGGGCATGTTTGATGTAAAAAATAATAGGCATGTTTGATAAAACGTCATAGTAGAGAGGCGTATTATACCGTATAACCCTTATATTTATGAAGTTTGTACATTTGAAGTGAAAGTAAAAAACTGACAAAGTTTTTCCTTATCACTGCTCATAGTACGAAAACCCTCTTTTGGGTTTTTATCTTGGATGAACGGTGAGCAGCAAAAGCCTCATCCTTTTTAAATTTGTCTACTAGTCACCTCCCACCGTCGCGCCTCGTCATTGTCGTTGATCCCGAACCTCCGCCACTGCTGTCGGGTTTTCTGTTGGTCGCATCAAAAAAGAGAAGAGGAGAAAGGAATTGTTGCGGTGGAGGAAAGAATCGGAAAAGGACCGCATCCGCCTTCCCCTAGAGAGGCGCCTCGTCGCCGTTCAGAACGTCGTCTGCTGCAAGCCCCGCAGCTACTCCGGCGCCGACACCCTCGACGGCGTCACTCCCGTCCTCGGAATATGTGGCTTATTCGGAATCCGACCCGCTGGTGAAGAGCTCCAAAGTCACTTTCACCGGCTGTTTCGCATCCACACTGCATGCCTCGGCATCAACAGTCTCCACAATTCCACCTAACCTTTTTAGTTCGATTATTTATATATTTTTGGGCATTCTAATTTGTTTATTGCTTGATTCTTACTACGTTTCTTTGACTTAGTTTCGTTTCGTTTCGAGATTTGGAAGCAAGATGTCGCTGCCTTTTGCTCATTTGCCCTGCTGATGTTAGTTCTGGGGTAGTTGGATGGCTGGTCCTTGTTATGCGGTTTGGACACCTGCTGGCCGCTAGATTCCTGTTCTTATTTGCTCCGGTGATTCAAGCCGGCGGTAGTCATGTCGGCCATTTTGGTGCTCTTTTGCTGCCCTCTGGTGTGACCATTTGCCTTTCCCCAATCCTTATCCTGAAACCATAAACCAGAAGCGTGGTGGGGTGGACGCGTGTCATCAGCGATGGACAACTCTTCTTTCCTTTTACAGCGGTGCAAAGATCAGAGGAGGGGCGGGCACGTGTCTTTAGCAGCTTGTCTGTTTGACCATTTTATTTGGCCTTTTTGTTTTTGCAGGTGCAGCGGAATTTCCTCTTATTTGGGCTTTTGCCACAGTGGGCTCTCCAATTGTCTCTATCAGATGCTGGGTGATATCAGCGAGAGCCTAAGACGGTGTGGTGAAATGGTGTATGGTGGAGTGTCTCACTACTAGTTGTGAACCCGTCCAACAGACGGGCAAGTGACTTTCTTTTATCATTGTTAATATTTTCGTATGACCTGAACTTTGACCAAAATAAACATCATGGCTAATTTTTTCGATCTATAACATCATGACCCGAACTATGCACCAAAATAAACAATTTGGCCAGATCCGACTTTTGATCGTTAACTTGGACGGTCAAATACGTTGACCGTTAGTCAACGCGTCATGTCACTGCCAAGTCAGCATAAAATATTTAAAATAATTCGCAATTTCCACACATTCCTTAATTTTAAATTATTATAAATTAAAAAAATTATCTAATACCTTAGTTATCGAAAAAATTAAATATTTATCAGATCTTCTGACTTGGCAGTGACGTGGCGCGTTGACCATTAGTCAACGCGTTTGACCGTCCAAGTTAACGATCAAACATCGGGTTTGGCCAAATTGTTTATTTTGGTGTATAGTTTGGGCCAGGATGTTATAGATCGAAAAGATTGGCCAGGATGTTTATTTTGGTCAAAGTTCAGGCCATACGAAAATATTAACCCTTCATTTTATAATAATCAATTTATTTTAATTATTTCTCCATTTTTATTATAAAATTATATATATATATATATTTCACAAAATACTTATGGTCTTTAGCAAAATTTTTTAACAAAAGGTAATCATATTGATTGATAAAAAAATCAAGGATTACATTCTGGGCCCAAACCAGGCACGGAAGTCATACAATCGATACGCAACCGAAGACAAAGAAAGTGTCTTCCTAATCCTAGCCACTGAATAGGCTACCCTATTGATACTCCGACCCACAATCGAACACAAAATTGAAATTATGAGTTATGAAGTCTCATTTTAACGTAAAGTTTATCTATGAAAATACTAAAACTCATATGTTAAAAGAAAAAAACATTGCAACTAATTATCCCTCTATAATATATAGAAGTACTTCAGGAGATATTGAG